TGATTGGATTAGGAATGAAAACTTGTCTTGGGGTTCCCACTTAGATGCTCTAATTTATAGAAACCAAATATATAGGTTTCATATGACCCATAATTTTTTTTTAGGATATAAAGGATTAAACTGTTTTGTAGCTATACATTTAAAGCTAAGCTTTTGATGATTCTTTTTGAATAAATCTTCAAAAGTAAAATGATCTAGAGTGACTATAAGTTTTTAAAAATAACTTCAATTTTTTTTTGGAGAGATTTTCGCTATAGGGCGCGTGCGCTCGCCAGACAGACAGAGAGAGACATAGAGACAGAAAGCGAGAAATCACCCCCCAGGTGGGATGGTCACGCTGCAATCCCTTCTCCTCCTTCTCCTCTCAGGATCTTGGGCACGCACGCACATGCGCCCGGCGTGAGTTCTAAGCCACCGGGTCCGGGACGCGAACCGCAGTCGACTACGTGGGAGTCCAGCGACATAGCCATTACGCTAACTGCTGGTTCCCAAAATAACTTCAATTGTTAACTATTAGATTCTAAATAAAATACGGCTATTTCTTTACTCCCTGCATCTACTGACTAAGCCATAGCTACTTTGCTTTTTAGAGCAATTAAGTTAATCCAGTGCTGTCCTATTTACCCTTATTTGTGGTGGTAGTTTTTTGTTTTACATTAATGTAGTGTCTATAGAATGAAAAAGGAAGCACTTTACACACGCCTTAAAACATTATTCATTACTTTGGGATACCTTTCTGGTTTATTGTGTCCCTTTCAGTACTTCTTTCCCTTTCAACAAGTATATCTACCTTCTCTTTACTAGAGCCTGGATTATACATATTATTCAGTATACAAATGTGTAACCTTTGTGGAAATCTTAGTGATATCCCTCACTTTTGAATCCTGGGTAGAAAGCAGTGTTAAATTTCTTCTTCTGAGGCAAGAACATGGGTAACTGCTTAGCCCTTACAACCTTTTTTTTTTTTTTTGCCAGAGATCTCTCTGTGACAAAGCAGAGAAATTTGCTGTTGTGGCATCACACCAGTGGCACTAGTATGTCTCATGAACCTAACGTTACTGCTCTAATCACCTAGAGCAGGATTAATATCATGATCTTTGCAGCTGATGTTTGCAGTGCCTGTTGTCACCAGAATGAGCTTCTTTGTTGCTGCTGGTATTCTATACCTCTTGTTGAATATCAGTGTTTACAGGAAGGGTTCTAACTCCTGAAACATTCAGTGCTGCCAATACTAGAAATTCTAGAGTAGAACTAGAAAGGTTCTTTCCATGGCTCCATAAACATTTTATTACCTGGGCTATAAAGCTCTACAATGCTCTAGGTTATGGTGGCTCAAAGTTACAAGAGTTATTCCTTTAGCTTCTAGTCTGCAAACTATTAATAGTCCATTACACTGTTCTTTGTCTGAGACCTAGTTTGTTCTTATTATTGATTGCCAGTTGTTTTGTAAATATACACTGAATTAAAACTAGGTAACTGGAGAACCACTGACTGATTCTCAGATCTTTATCTCTAATTCAGACCTTTATTGGAAGTCCTACATTTAGTTACCTTTGGGGTCTATTTATGTGCTAAGCTCAGTCAGGGATTATCTCCTTTAAAAAAAAAAAAAAATTCACCTTGTCCCTGTAGCAGCTTCTTTGGAGAAATTTGCTGACTACTGGATGAGGTTCTGCTTCCATACCTCCTGAGCTACTTTTATCAAACTATCCAATACATTTTAATGGCTGTTTTCTGCGTTAGACATTGAGTTCCAAGAGGTCAGATATTAGGTGAGTTCTTATCACCTGGGACATACAGATACTCCATAAATGTTAGATGAATGACTATATCCTGATGGGTCATTCAAGAAGAAATTTAAAGTTCCGTTTCCTAGACGCTCTTTTAATCTGTTTATGTGCAAATATCTGATTATATTACTCTCCTCAAAAATTTCTCCAGTTCTTTATCTCCTGTAGGACATTTTTATTAAGAGAGATTTTTGCTGTAGGATGCATGCGCTCACTAGAGAAGCAGAGAGAAAGAGAGAGAGAGAGAGTGAGAAATTATTCCCCAGGGAGGATGGCCACACTTGAATCCCTCTTTCTCCATTCTTCTCCCGGGATCTTTGGCACACACATGCACCCAGTGTGAGTTTTAAGCTGCCATGTCCAGGACTCAAGTCACAGTCAACTACATGGGAGTCCAGTGATGTAACCATTAAGCCATCTGCTGTCCCCCCCCATAAGACATTTTTAACACTGACGGTTACTTGGCTTTTTTTTTTTTTTTTTTTTTTGGTTTTTTTTTGTTTGGGTGGCTTGTTTGTCCAAAA